GGGATGATGTCAACAAGATGGCAGGCTGGGAGTTCCCACCCTTTGTTTATCCACAAAAACAGTGATTTCACAACAACCACAGATGAAAATAGGTCCTGGAGAGCTCTGGAGTGCAATTAGGAGGCTGCAGACCCGCAGTGGAGCGCGTGACTTGGGACTGGCTGCATTCTGGGTCATTGTCCCAGTCCCAGACCAGTAAAGCCGCTCAGTGCTGAGAGGCTTCTCCTTGGCTGTGGCTTTCTCCCATAGTTGAAGAAGATGTGCTGGGATCCACTGGGGATCCCTATCACCCTTGTACTGTCATGGTCACTCACAGCTTTTGCCACTGAAGGTCAATGTTAACCCCAAGCTGATAGGGTTGCCCAGAACCCACCTCATTGTGGTTCCTTAGAAGTGAAGCTCTCACTGTCCCTTCTGGGAGCCCTGTGGCACTCTAAACATAATTCTTAGTAGAAACTTAGCAGCCTAGGAGCCTTGTGATGCTATAAGCATACTTCTTAGTAGAAACTTTTCAGCCTAGGAGACTGAGATGACACAGTCAAAGGACCAAGCATGACTGTTAAATACTTCAAACTGAAGGATTATTTATAGGATGGAATGAAGGAATAGAAATGGGGGCAAAAAAAAACCCAGGCAAGAAGTAACCAAGAGAAAGCAGGTGTCAGTGTATGTAAAATGAAAGTGGTTTTAGATAAAACAAAGTCATACATAATGACAGGAAAATGTAAGGAATATGACTGTATCTGTATCTAAGATCAGAGCATCTAAATGTATAAAGGACATATGCATAGTACTGGAGAAGGAAATGGAAAGCAATATAGTACTAGTTGAAGGCCTTGATAGCCTACCCTCAAAATCGGCTAGAGCATCAGATGGGAAATTTGTAAACATATTTTTGAGCCTTCGAAGACATATATTCAGGGTTTGCTGAGCAATGACAGGAGCACACAGAAAAGCTTCAGAATGGATCATTTGTTAGGTCTCAGAAAGTTAAATAAGCTTAATAAAATTCAAAACAGTGCCAAGTACCATCTGAAAACAATGGACTAGAACCGGAAGTCTGTACAAAAACAGAAATTTCACAAATGCATGAAACTAAACAATGTCCCTTGAACTAACTTTTGTCTTTATATACACGTATTCATTTTTCTGGTGCGTGCACATGCATGTATGTGGCGGGGAGTTCCTGCTACATCATGTGTGGAGGTCAGAAAACAACATGCAGGAGTTGGGTCCCAGGGATCAGTCTCAGATCCTCTGGCTCCGTGGAAAGCACTTTCATCTACTGAGCCTTCTGTCCAGCCCTTTTGCTTCTGACTCAGCAACCCTACTCCCTGTCATGATTGTGCCTTGCTCTCTCAGCATTTTGGTCTATAGCACACATGCTGACATCACCATAGACTAGACCACTCCCACCACCACCATGCCAAAACCATGCGCCCAAAGCGTTAGCCTTTCCTCACTGTGAATCTTAGGGAGTGGCAGTCCTCCGTGCCCTCCCGGTTTTGAACTCAGGGAATTCTGAGAAACATGTTTGCTCCCTGGTGGAGGTTCCAAGGCCTAGGAACAAGACTCAAGGATGGCTGTTGAAGTTAGGCTCGGTAGTATGGAGATTTCCTCAGGTCGTGTCCCCGACTTGCCTTGTCTCTGTGACACCAGGAGTGCCCTTGCTACAGTGGGGGGGGGGCCCTGCTGTTCTTTCTCTTGGAAAGCACACTGCAGCTAAGAATCCTCTTAACTTTCCACCCGTTACCATTCCTGGTCCCTGAGGTGCACACCCTGAGCTGTGTCTCTGAGACTGACCTGTATTTCTACAGATAATGGGATTTTATGTCAGTTTTCAATCTTTCAGGTGTAGGCACAGGCTTCCCTCATGGCTTCCCAGTTTAGTTTTGGCAATTCACAGCACCAGAAAATCTCTGTATTATTTGTTCTTTTTTATAGTACTGGGAGTCAAGCCCAGGGCCTGTGTATGCTAGGAAAATTCTTTAACCATTGAGCTATATCCTCAGCCTATTTATTATTTATTTATTATAATTTCCATTTATGTGTTGACTACCTGTTTTCTGATTCTTAACATAAAATATAATTTTATGTCTTTGAGACTATCTTCCTTTAATTCCTTGAACATGTCTATAGTAACTGCTTTGAAGTATTCTTACACTTTTTTATGGCTTTGTCTTGTTTTCTGGTCACTTTCTTGTTTTGTTTTTTCCTCACGTCTGGTAACTTTTGTTGAAAACTGGTCATTGTGTTCCAATGGTTCTGGTTTTTCTTGATTCTCCTGAAAGTTTGGTGTTTGCTTTTAGGAATTTATCTGAACTTGGTTTACAAAATGAGCCTCCTACATGATGCATCCCTGCACAGGGTAGTGTTAGCATTTGCTTTAAATTTTTAAGATTTATTTTTATTGTTTTCAATTATCTTTATGTGTGTCTGTATGTATGTGTGTATGCAGGTGCCTGCGGAGGCCCGAAGTCTTGAATCCCTCTGGAGCTGTAGTTACAGGCAGTTGGGAGCCACCGGACATGGGTGCTGGGAACCAAACTTGGGTCCTCTGCGAGAGCAGCAAGTACACATAGGCACTGAGCCATCTTTCCAGCCCGTTTACTCTGCTTATTAGTCAGAATTCTCCAAGGGTCTGGTCTTTTTCTACACTGCAAGATAATCATTTGAACAGAGAGCATGCTCAAATATCTTGAACAAGAAGCCCTCCACACTCTGCTGCCCAAGCTGGGTGTGGCTGGAGAAACAGCTGTACAGCAACCTCCCCCATCTCCTTTTGATCTTACTTTTGGCTGAACTCTCTTCGGTCTCACCACCACCACCACCTCACTCAGGCTCGTGTTAGCAATCCACTGGGTGTGTGTAGAGATTTTATTATCTGGACTTCATCATCACCATGTTTCCTGAAGGATCTTCTAAATCGGGCTGAGTTTCTACCCTGGACCAAAGCTAGAACTTAAGCTGGGAAAACGGTAGTCTTTCCCACTTCTCTACAACTGAATATATAACCTTTAACCTACAAACTTCAGATTTTCTTCTCCACCCACCCGCCAGACCAAATCTCCCTCTAACTGCCACAGCCACTGGTTTCCATTGGCCTTTGGACCAAACCCACCACAGGTAGTAGCAAATCTATGATTTTCCTTATCTAAGATAGCACATTGTATGAAAGAATGCACAATAAGGCCACAGACTAGTGGCCATCCGGGCACAATAGAAGTTCTTAATGATGGGTCACTTCCCAGTGATCTGAGTGGCTGTTTTTCATATTCTGTTGACGATTTTTGTCTGATATTATACTTGTTGCCATTAAAGGGGAACTATCTAAGGTCTCACACCACCACCTCCGAGGTGACTCTTGGGTTAGATTATCTTAATGTATTTTCCACTCGACTATTCTACTGCTCACATCTTTTGAGCTTACCAGGAGGTTGATGTGGTCATGGAAAGAGAGCTCTGTGTTTTGCATAAGTCACCTCAAATTCATAAAAATAAATGGGGGATAGTGACCGAGGGAGACAGTCAGACAGAGCACAGAGCTGGGAGAGTCAGAGTTAGGGTCTGGTCTCAGTCCTGGCCCGGAAAGACCTCTCAGAGTCTCCCTGATTTCCTACAGTGTCTGACAAAGGACAGCCCGTCTAACCCTAACCCTTTACCACCATCTCTCCTCCGAGAACTCTCCCCACCGGCGTTCTTAGTCAGCTTTCACTTCTGCTCAGACATCTAAAGCCAGCACCAACATCATTTCCTTGTTCTTTTCTGAGTGGCTGCTGGAGTGTGTGTGTGTGTGTGTGTGTGTGTGTTTGTGTGTGTGTCCAACCTCTTTTTGTGGCAGAGGGTGGGTTTTTCTCAGGCTAAACCAAAGCAAGGGCCATAATTGGAATCTCTCAGCAAACTCTCCCCACTCTGTCTCTGGGTAGATGAACAGTGTTAGAGGTAGGGAGATCCTGACTTCCCTTTGTATTCTAACCTCAGGTTCAAAAGCTGTCCAAACATACTCTGTCCAGTTGGTAAAGTGCTTTCTTTGCAACATGAAGAATTCAAGGCTAGTCCTTAGAACCCACTTTAAAACAAAAGCTGGTGTGTGGTTATGATCCCCGCCTGAAGAAAGCGGAGACAGGATGATTCCTGGGGCTCAGTGGCCAGCCATCTTATCCTGTTTATCAAGTTTAAAGCCAATGAGAAACCTTGCCTTAAAAAGAAAAAAAAAGACACCTGAGGAGTGATTTCTCAGCTGTTCCCCTGGCTTCCACACACATGTGCTATTTGTTGCAGCTGAACACTCCAGCTGTTCACTCTGTCCTAAATACTGTGATAGGAACATTTAGACCTGAAGTCAGCGTCCCCCCCACTCAAACCTTTGGGGACAAGCAGCGGTGCTTGGAACTCTGACACTGCTGCAAAGAACTTTTGCTAGCTCTTTCCTACAAGGGCCTGCAGTGAACACTGTCGTAGCCCGAAACCCCTAGGAAGGAAGCTCCACATGGAGACAGACCATGGGCTGTGGTGTAGAAAGTGGCAGATTGATAACACACTTCATCAAAGCTCCCAGACCATAAAGAGAAGCAAAGATCTGCCCACTGGCTCCCTTTGATGCCTGGATGAGCAGGTGATCATCGACTCATGACGTCTGCTGGGCCAGCAGGTCCTCTCAGCAACCTTCTTGGTTCAGTTTGCCTGATGTGGGGAAGGATATGCCCAACCATGGTGTTACCTCACTCTCTGTTCTCTGGGCTTCATTGTCAAGCAGCGTGGTCAGCTGAAGAACCTTTGAGGTCAGAGTCACGAACAGGTGGCAGCACTGTCAAACGTGGGGCATTTGTACTTACTGAGCATCGATTCCATACACTCTAGTCACACCCATTCTGCCACTGACCGGCCACAGCATCCTGTGACCTCACCATTTAAAAGCAAAGCAAAACCAATGGACCGAGAGGACACCACCCTAGTTCCCACAGGTGGCCCAGACAGAGTCCACTGAAAAAAATACTTCCTAGAGTTAGCTGGAGGTGGGTTAACCATGCCGTACCATCTGAGGGAAAACACCCGCCACGTGGTGAAACCACACGCCATGAGAAAACTTTGGGGAGGCAGAGGGACATCATGACCGGCATGGCTGAAGGCTAGGTGTGCAGGGAACGTCCTCAGGAGCACCTCTGGGACTGAGGAGCCAGAGGTGCCCAGTAGACTTGGCTGGAGGGTGGAGCCCACATTGAGCTGCTCCTTGGGGCAGCTGATAGAAGTCTGGTCACAACAGGGGCACACAGTCACCTCTCTGTGCTGCTGGCAGGAAGCCACGAGCAACCAAAGCTGACTGAGATGAGAAGCATCTCTCTGGGGATGGGATTGACTTCTCTTAGCTGGCTCCAGAGCTTCTGGTTACTGCTAGAAGGTTCCTCAATCGCATGCACCCTGGGATCTGAAGAGCCATGGTAAGAAGCTGTTGAAACCCTGAAAGGTAGGTCTGTCTGCTGTGTTCTGAGTAGTTCATTCTCTACGCGGTGTGGGCAGTGCTCTGAGGCCTCCGGGATAATCGAATGGGCAGGGATGCTGTTGTGGGTGTTACCGACGGAATTCTCGTGCTCCGTGCTGTGGCCATGGATAAGGCACCCCGCTGAGAAGCCATTGGATTTATAAAAGTTCATCTATCCAGGGTAGATCATGTGTCTGAGGCTCCATGATGGGAAGGTTAGTGATGGTCCCACAGAGGGCCTGGGCTGTGGGAGGAGGTGGATGGGGACATGCAGACCAGATGTGGAGGTAGAGGCAAGTGCCCCAGAAAGGACGCAGCTGGAGCCACTATGCAGAGCCCAGTGAGAATGGCAGTAATATGTGCTCCATCTGGCTCAAGGTCAGTACCTGCTTGTTGCTGTCTCTTACTTTGTTTTTGAATGAGTTTGTCCAGCTTTTCAGGTATTCAGGGGTGGGGATACAACAGAACTGATTTCATAATGATCTTTTTGGCCAAGATAGTGTTTTGTTAGTAAAGGCAAACTGAGGAAAGAGTAAGTAGTTGATAGTATGTTTTAGGAGAACTCTTTTATTTTGTTTTGTTTGGCTTTCGGTTTTCCAAGTAGGTTTCTCTGTGTAGCCCTGGCCGTCCTGGAACTCACTTTGGAGGCCATGCTGACTTTGAACTCAAAGATCTGCCTGCCTCTGCCTCCAGAGTTCTGGGATTAAAGGCCTGTGCCACCATGTCAGGCTTTTTTTTAATACTTTTTTATTATATATTTAAATTAGAACCAAGCTTGCTTCCCATGTCAGTCCCAGCTCCCTCTCCCTCCCCTCCATGCCCATTCCCTCCCCCCAGCTCCCCCAACCCACCACCCAATCCTCACTCCATTCCCCAGGGAGGGTAAGGCCCTCCATGGGGGATATCTAGAGTGTCATTTTGTTCTGGGGGAGGGCCCAGGCCTTCCCCAAAGTGTCCAGATTGAGAAAGCATGCCTCATTGTGGGATGGGTCCCCAAAGTTCATTTGTGTGCCAGGGATAAATACTGATCTACTACCCCAAAACCCCATAGATTGCCTGAGTCTCCTCACCGACACCCACATTCAGGGGGTCTGGATCAGTCCCATGCTGGCCTCTCAGCCATCAGTCTGGGGTCCAAGATATCCCCTTTGTTCAGGTCAGCTGTTTCCCTGGAATTCACCAGCCCAGTCTTGACCCCTTTGCTCATCATTCCTCCCTCTCTGTCACTGGGTTCCAGGAGTTCAGATCAGTGTTTAGCTGTGGGTGTCTGCCTCTGCTTCCGTCTGTCACTGGATGGAGGTTCTAGGATGGTATGTAAGATAGTCGTCAAAATCATTATTAGGGAGGGGCATTTAGTGTAGTCTCTCCTCTCCATTACTGCTTAGTTTGCCAGTTGGTGTCAGCCTTGTAGATCTCTGGAGTTCTCACTAGTGCCAGATCTCCCCTCATACCTAGAATGGCTCCCTCTATTATGGTATCTCTCATCCTGCTCTATTCTTCCCCCAACTCAACTATCCTGCTCCCCCATGTCCTCCTCTCCCTTCCTCTTCTCTCCATCTCTTTTTCCTGGCTCCCTTTCCCCTCCCCCACCCTGTACTCCCAATCTGCTCAGAAGATCTTGCCTCATTCCACCTTCTCTGGGGTACCTTCTCTTAGGGTCCTTCCTGTTTCTCTGTCTCTCTGGCAGTGGGATTGTAGACTAGGACTCCCATGATTCATGTCTAAAATCCATATATGAGTGAGTACATACCATGTTTGTCTTTTTGTGACTGGGTTACCTCACTCAGGATGGTTTCTTCTAATGCCATTCATTTGCCTGCAAAATTTCAAGATCCGATTGTTTTTTTTCTGCTGAATAGTATTCCATTGTGTAAATGTACCACATTTTCTCTATCCACTCTTCAGTTGAGGAGCATCTAGGTTGCTTCCAGGTTCTGGCTATTACAAATAGTGCCGTTATAAACATAGTGGAACAGATGTCCTTGTTGTATGAATGTGCATGTTTTGGGTATATGCCTAACAGTGGAATTGCTGGGTCTTGTGGTAGACTGATTCCCATTTTCCTGAGGAATCTCCATAGTGGCTGTCATAGTGGAGTCAGCACTCCCACCAGCAGTGGAGGAGTGTTCCCCTTTCACCACATTATCTCCATCATAAACTGTCATTGGTGTTTTTGATTTTAGCCATTCTGACAGGAGTAAGATAGTATCTCAGAGTTGTTTTGATTTGCATTTCCCTGATTGCTAGGGATGGTGAGTGTTTCTCAGCCGATTTAGTGTCCTCTATTGAGAATTCTCTATTTAGTTCTGTAGCCCACTTTTTCATTGGATCCTCATGTCAGGCTTTCTTGAAAGGATTGTTTTAATGGTCTTGTACTTCAATGGTCTTGACTGAGCTAGTGAGATAACTCAATCAGTAAAGTGCTTGTTTGAAAGCCTAAGCACAGCTTGACCCTGGCAGACATGTGAAAACTTGGGCATAGTGTCACCAGTTTGTAATCTCAGTCCTGGGAAGGTGGAGACAGAAGCATCCCTGAGGCTCATTGGCCAGCTAGTCTCTCCTACTCCATGACCTTTACTCCAGTGATCCTGTCAAAATAAACAAACAAACAAAAACCCCAAGGTGGTTAGCTCCTGAGGAACAACACCCAAACATGTGTACACACAATTTTAAAACCTTTCAAAGCATCTCTATTCACTTTGTAGTTGGTCATTGATTTCATACTCACTGGTACATACCAGCGAAGAACCAGTGTTACCATGAGCTGGAACTGTGGGGGGATTTCTCTTGGCATGTCTGCAGGTGGAAGGCTGGTTCCCCTGACCCTGAGGGGGATGGGGCCTAGAGTATGGGAGGCAGAAACAGTAACTGTAGGATGGCTTTACAGACTGCCTCTTAGCCAAGTTACCAAGATCCACTGCACCGGAGATAAGACATGTTGTTGCTGTGAACTCTTGCCTCCATGCACTTCCTTCCCCAAACCTGCAACACAGCCCGATTACAGAAAAGCCCATAGAGGTCTAAACCTAGGGGCATTCTCCAATGTATCAGTCTTTAAGACTGCCAGGGTCACAAAAAACAAGCATGGGTGGTAAAGTTACAGGTCAGCGTCCCCCTGGTGCCACTACCAGTGTTAGTATCTTAGCTATGGTGACCACCATTTTTCTATAATCCTTGATTTTTTTCAAAATAAAAAGTTCAAGAAAAAGAAGAAGAAGAAGAAGAAGAAGAAGAAGAAGAAGAAGAAGAAGAAGAAGAAGAAGAAGAAGAAGAAGAAGAAGAAAAGAATGGCACTCATCTTGCCTCAGAGCAGAAGTGGTCACTTGATGAGTACTCCTGGGGAAACTTGTCTTTGGAGTTTTGGAACACAGGAGGCCTTGGCCACTCTCTCTGCTCCCCCATTTATTAGAGGACCACATTGTATTTCCTGCTCCTTGCTGTATTTTTTCTTCTGTCTGTTTATTTTTTGTTGGGTTTACATTTTTGAGCTCTCCCTGCTGTCAGGGGCTGTGGTGTTGAGTTCAGCCTGCCCTGCTCTGTGTGGCTCACTATCTAGGGTAGACTCAGCCTCTCAAGCCCAACTATTCTTCTAGAAGGAGGCAAGGGGGCACCCAGACCTGCACAGAGTACCTTTCTACCAAATGGAGTCAGTCAGTGTTTGGGTTCCACTATCCCTCAGGAGTCCATGGCTGAACACGGGGAACAGAGGCTGCCCTCGGCAGTCAGGGGCCTGCTGCTGAGGTTCAGGTGTACAGAGTGGAGCTGTAGGACAGGGCAGCCCAGCTTTTCCTCAGCAGGCCTGGCCGAGCAGATGAACTTTTCTCAAAAGTGATGCCTCCGTCAGTTTAGTGATGCCTCAGAAGCTGGGGAGGAAGAAAAAGGCTGATAATGTTGCAGGAAGATGATGCCTAGATGTGAATCATGGCACCAAGATGAAAATCAAAACAGAGAGCTGTGGTTGCAACATAGCCTCAGGACGTTTCCCACCAGCATGGCTTACATTATGCTGTGCTGTGCTGTGTTACCCATGAGTCCCCCCATACCTTCTCATGAAGAAGCCCCCCTTCCCCTCCCCTCCTTTCCCCTCTCCTCCCCTCCCTTCCCTTCCCCTCCCTTCTTCTCCCCTTCCCCTCCCCTCCTTTCCCTTCCCCTCTCCTCCCTTCCCTCTCTTCCCCTCCCCTCCCTTCCCTTTCCCTTCCCTTCCCTCCCTTCCCTTCCCTTTCCCTCCCCTCTCCTCCCTTCTCTTCCCTCCTTTCCCCTCTCCTCCCTTACCTCCCTTCCCCTCCCCTCTCTTCCCTTTCCCTTCCCTTTCCCTCCCCTCTCCTCCCTTCTCTTCCCTCCTTTCCCCTCTCCTCCCTTACCTCCCTTCCCCTCCCCTCTCTTCCCTTTCCCTTCCCTTCCCTCCCTTCTCTCCCCTTTCCCTTTCCTTCCCTCCCTTCTCTCCCCTTCTCTCCCCTCTCCTCCCTTCCCTTCCCTTTCCCTCCCCTCTCCTCCCTTCTCTTCCCTCCCTTTCCCTCTCCTCCCTTACCTCCCTTCCCCTCCCCTCCCTTCCCTTCCCTCCCTTCTCTCCCCTTCTCTCCCCTCTCTTCCCTTCCCTTCATTCCCTTTCCTTTCCCTGACTTGGGACAGAACCTAAACTCAGCCCTCCAGCCTCAGCCTCCTGAGTAACTGGGATCCCAGGCCTTAACCACTAGGCTTACAAGCCATTCTTGAGTGAAAGAAGCAACAATGAGATGCTGGGTGCAATGGAAAGTTAGGCTGTGAGGAAGAGAGGAGGAGGAGGAAGGGCTGGGCTCCAGTCATCACTAACCATGTGAACTCCATGATGGCCTACATGGCCTGTGCTGTGGGCTCTGGAGCAGTACATTCAGAAGGGGCATCCCTAAATTCTACTCCCCTTGAGGTGGTGGGGTGCAGAGGTCTGAACAGACACATGGCTGTGGAACCTTCCAGATGAGGGGAAGTGAGCCAGTAGCCTAATGGCT